ACAGACACAGACAGTCTAGGGTAGCATATCACAGCACTGTCATCTTCAGAGATTCCATCAAAGAAAAACACTGAACTATGTACAGTCTGAGGCCCTGAGGTAAGAAGCCGCAGCGATAAAATAGTAACAGATAAAACAGGCCAAACAAGAGTTAGCGTCTCCCCGCGGGCCACTCCGACGAACGCCTTGTGTCACATGACCCGGCGGGGGAGGAGTTACGTTCTGCAGCTGCGGTGCAGCAAAGTTTAAGCACCCCCCACCCTCCAGCCCCCAGCCCCCACGACCCTAAAATCAGCCACAAAACCGCTGGTCAAGTGGAGTCTCGTGGTTTTCCCCCCAGGGCTACTCTTCCCTGGCACCCTCTGACCCTCACAAAGTGAAGCCACAGGCCTCTACAGCTTTCCCAGTGCATGAGCCCTAAGGGCTCTGAAGGGCTTCTATATAGGGCAAGGTCACAGCCGGAGCCAAGCGTCAGAGATTTGGTTAACAGCAGGACAGCGCTACTTGGTAACCTGTTGGGGAGTCCTAATGTTTTCATGGTGTGTCTGTATCTGCACCTGAATGTGGACGGTAGAGGTGCTTACTTGTGACTTTCAGTCCTGTTTGCGAATAGGAACGTAGAACCATGGCTCATGACAGAGGGGTGTGGATGTAGCCACCTGACTTGAAGAGGTGGATAACCATATGAATTCCAGGCGCTGCATCCTGTTCTTAGACCCTGTGCCTACCCCCTGTTCCGCTCCATGTGGTTTTAGTGACACTGTGGCGTATAAGGAAACTGCGTCACCCTGACTGCACTCAGACTGAACAGCGGTCATCTCATTACTCATTAACAATATGAGATGCAAAAACTCAGCCTTCTTTCACTGCCAGACTCTGAAGAGAGCCACGCATTGTTTGTGTGAGCAGCCATCTGAAAATACACCCGTATGTTTCCTTAACTGATCGGTAAGCTGTGAACTGCGCTGTCATCATTACTGTGTAAGCCTGTAAGATATTAGCCTTTCCCTGAGCGCGGGATGAATGCCAGCAGGCGTGATCTCCCCTGGACCAGACTAATGTAACGCGCTGGTCTCTGGAAAACAGCACAGAGACGTGTGGGAAGCCACAGCTTGTGTGATAACAAGCAACTCCTCCAGCTGTTTGTCTGGCCAGACGTGACCCCAGCAACCGGATACCACACACTCACGTTTCAGAGGACTTTATCTACTTCAAAACACATACACACACACATGCATACACACTCTTTCGCTCTCTCTCTATCACACACACACTCACACAAACACACAAACTCTTACACACACATACACACTTTCTCTCTCTCTCAAACACACTCTCACTCACACAAACATACACTCAAGCAAAAACACACTCACATATACACACATACACACACAGACCATGTACTAAAAACACCATACTCCTCCACACCTCACCAAACAGCTCACACACTGACTGTTTTAGAGGTTTAAAGCAAAAGCACCACAACAACAACAACAGGAAGCGGAAAAAATGCAAATGAGGCAGGCGCTGTAGGCTGGGGTTTTATCTGCGCCCTGCAGGAAGAGCCCTTGGTTTTCCACCTCTGCCTCAAACCGCGAGGCAGTCTGTCACCCACAGGACTGCCCCTCAGGAAGCCGGCCGCTGGCAGGCAGTTTTTCCAGAGGGCACCAGGACACTTCCAGCCCCCAGATAAAGACCGTGTGAAGAAACGGCCCCGAGAAGCGCAAACAGCCAACACCCAACACCCAGTCGCCCTGCTTCACCTCCAAAACCCACACAAAACCAGGACCACTTTCTTTTCCCACGCCCACCGACAGAACATTAAAAACAGACCCGAACGGGACAGTTAAAGAGGTAACGCGAGGCGACGGTGAATGACACTTTTCTTCCAGTTTGGCTGAGGCTTCAGAATTCCTCTGCCCTCGCAAACAGAATTTGAAAAGGTTAAACGCGATGTAAGAAGGCACAAAGAAACCTTTTCAGTCGGACCCAGCGATGTAGCCTTCGCTACGTTCAGGAGCATGTGCCTCAGATCAGTCCCACTTCCCAGCATGCAACAGAACAGACAGGCGCACACCTTGTGGAGGGTAGCGTAGGATTGCGTACCTTTCTCCTCTCCTCCTTCATCCCCCTGTTTGCGCTGCACTCCTTCTGCCCTCCGTTCATCAGGAACCCCATACCCACACCACAAGAGCCTGAACAGAAAGCCCTGAACAGCCGAGATCCAATCCCAAATGCGCTCTGTAAGGCTCACTTCCCCGCCCTGATATTAATCAGCTCCAGGGCGCCCCAGCCCTGACCGGGACAATCCCACAATCCCAACCCCCAGCCCATGTGACCAGAATTAGGGCTGATCCATAATACATAATAACAAGGCAGCCAAACAAACACACACACACACAAACACACACACACACACACACACACACACACACACACACACAGAGAGAAAAAACACATACACACACAGACACACACAAACACTAATATACAGACACAAACATGCAGAAACACATATACACAGACATGGATACACATACAGACCCACACATTAATGCATGTGCACCCATGCATAAACACACACAGATACATACACAGACATGCAGGCATTCATCCACGCACATACACGTGCGCGCGCACACACACACACCCAGACTGGATGCCCTTGGTGTGGCAGTCTGTTAATTGGTGGCCGCAGGGCCCGAGTGACAGGCGGCAGTGGGGACCTCAGCGGGGGGGGGTTGCATATGGATGCGCTGTTGCTGGACTGAGCGCGCTCAGAACGCTGTGGCCACTGCTCAGTCCCCTCCGCTCCCCATCCGAAACCACCGCGCTGTAACATCACAGGAGGGCAACATCACTGCAGCTCTCCCCTCTCATCATTCACATTACGCCTTATTCACACTGACGCTTTGCCTGCACATTTCTGACCTCAGTCATTCGTGGATGAGTTTTATGGATGAATAATTCTCATTCACTAAAAATTGTTAATTCACTAACAATTTCATAATTTTTAGTGAATAATTCACAATTTTTAGAGAATAATTCACTAAAAACTGGAAGTGGAATTACTGGGTTTTATAAGTAATGTAAATTGGCGAATTCAAAAACAGGGGTACATATAGGGGAAAAAGCATTAAAACCTGATGATAGATTAAATGTAATGCTCATGTTTTGTGAATGATCCCAGTTTGGCTTCTTCCATTCATTTCTTACACCTATTAACAGCCAGTAAGCCAGTTACCAATAACACTGATTTTACGCAGCACAAACCCTTTGTGCAGGCCCAGTATAACTGGAGCAAAGACTTGCAGGGTTCACCTTGCCTGTTGACCATGACAGCAACCCCACCGTGCGGGGACGCACTGTGACCTGGATTTCGGATTTCGCGGGGCAGAGGTGTGGCACTCACTCTGAGCGGGGCGGGCGCGTCCTGCGGGTGGGGCCCCTCCCCTCCGTCCGCGCGCCCCTCCTTCTCTTCCTGAGACACCGCCGGACATGCCTGGAAGTCCGAGTGCCCCAGATCCTGCAAGTACTGGAACAGCGGAGAGTTCTGGGGGGAGAGGGAAGCAAGCCGGAGAGAGGGGTCTTCACCAAGCTGACCTCTGGAAGAGCTGAACAGTGAATCCAAGCCACGCCCTGCTTCCACCCTTACAGGACTCAGTACACATACAGTGCCAGTAAAAAGTTTGGACACACCTACTCATAGAAGAGATTTCTTTATTGTGAATATTTTCCACATTTTAGAATAATAGTAAAGACCTAAAAACTATGAAATAACACAAACGGAATTAATCAGTGACCAAAAAAGTGTAAAATACATCAAAAATATCTTACACTGTAGTTTCTTCAAAGTAGCCACAATATTTTTAAAATTTTTTTAAAAGTTTTTTTGGAATGAAATTCATACATAGGCATCAACTTCACTATTTATATTTGTTCAAGAAACAAATTTCAAGCATTTAAGCATAAGTCTTTACATCAAAATGTCATTGAATTCAAGTTTTGCATTATCTTAATCAGGTGTGTCCAAATTTTTGACTGGTACTCTTTGTAACATCACAGAAATGCAATAAGATTGATAAAAATCTTAGTGGCTGATTTTGATTGGTCTCCAGAGCAGATGGCAAAGTGTAACAGAGATGTGGTTCCTGCTATCATATCGCACAACCATTAAACCCAGGAAACGTGCAGCCATCTTTCTCGTGGAAAGGAAGGACTCAAAAGACAGGGGCGTTTCCTTCACGTGACAGTACCTAACCTCCCGGTTTGTGTCTGTTGTTATTTTTTCCCAGCATGCCTTCTGTACCCCTATCAGAGAGAACATCCCTGATCTGCCAGGAGTGCCTGATACCCAAATGGTGTCATAGATTCAGAATGCACCCGCTGCAGTGATAACCAGAATCCAGCGGGGCTTATCGTTCTCCGGTGGATTTCGCTAAAGAGCTTTAGTCTTTATTTCTGCCTCTCAGAGAGGGTGGGTGGCTTCACTTTCTCTCAAAGGCCAAGTGTCCTCTTCTGAAGATATCATTAGATAGAATAATCTTTCGCAATATGCTCTGCTTCTCATTCCCTCAGGGCGAAGGCAGGGACATTGAAATAGGCTGCAGTGTGGCGTGGTGGTTTAAGAACTGGACCGGAAGCCAAATGTTTCCCAACCCTAAGCTAGGGGCTGGGCATTGTTATTGTAAGCTTCAGCAAGGTGCTTAACTGTAATTGCTTCAGTACAATATCCAGCGGTATGAATACAACGTAAACATATGGGCTATGTATGCCTCACTGAAAAAGGGGCTCAGCTAAGAAAACACGTGAATTGGCAATGTGTTCTGTTTCACTGTCGCTAGCTCCAGGCGACAGGTGACTTTGTCACCTTAATCCAGAACTCCTCATGGTGTACATTAAATGTCAGCAATTCAAACCTTTACAGAAGCTATTTAGGTTAGTGCAGTGCACAAGGGTAGAGTGCTCACTGTCATATCTGGGATTTGAGGCTACACCCACATGTGGCACAGTGGTAAGGAGCTGGGTTCAGAACCCAAAGGTTCCTGGTTTGACTCCTGTGTGTGGTGAGGCTTTTGTCGCCTTGAGTAAAAAATCCTGGCACTGAACGGTGCCACAGGAGGGTCGAACTACGGACTTGAATCAATGACCGTCAGATCTAAGGTTCTGAATCCTCCTACGTAGGTGTCCTGTGAATCGCCAGTGATATGACATATCTGCTCTCTTTGAGTGGGGCAAAGTCATGAACACCCCTCCTTTCTTCCATAACAGATCAATCGCCTGGATCAGTGGAGCCCGGTTCCGGTGCTGCAGTTTTATCGCTACAGCCTGGAGCGATAAGAATCTTAACGAGGAGCCGTACTCTGCACGTGAGATCGGCCCGCCGCCTCCGACATCCGTGCGTTTTACTCAACGCCGCACGCCTTATCCGGCTAAAGCCCGAAATCACATCTTACAACCGCATTTACTAGGGAAATCATGAAAACTTTGGACGTGCACAAAACACTGCAGCCAGTAAGCCCCAGAAACATTCCTCTGCTTAATACACACAAACTTAGCAGACTGTGTGCTTGGGTTACTGCATGTCACTTACAGTGTAATTAGTATAGTTATTACAGTCTAATTTTATTATTTGTTTGTTTATATTTTGTTTTCCCCGGTTTCAAATTCATCAATCAAATTTAATGCAGGCTAAATGGATCCCCTGTGAGTTTTTATTCTAGGTCATCACTGGATAAGGCGTTTATTTTAATTGGGCTTTTAAAAACACGATATTAAAATGACCATTATCATAAGTAACACTCATACTTTGCACGCAGTGCCATGCACAATACACATGTTGCTGAAGACACATTTCACTACATGAAAACCTGCTGTATGCAAAGTTACAACAAAGCATCTTTATCTGAAGACAGAGTAAACATACAAAAGTACAGCTGAATACTGAATGCATTGGGTTGGACCCTGTAGCCTGCTCTTTTAAAGGCTAAAAAGTAAAGACATTAAGTGAAAACATCTTCAAATCACTTCTCGAACACCAGTGACACTGACAGATTGACAGATAAACACTGCAGTCGAAATTCTGCATTGTACACACCTTCTGGACACAAGCAGACACGAGTAAGCATACATTTTCAGTTTCTTCATTTTAAGAAAATCACACGCCACACTGTAACTGACAGCTTGCTACATTAGTGTGGACATCGGGGTATCTTATCTTGAATATATTGTAACGTTAGCCAGATGTCCCGCAGCTTCAACATGTATTTCATGCTCCACTTTTACTAAAAAAAAAAACACTGACCCAATTCCACCACCCCAGCTGCCAATGCGATTCACTGCTGCGGGAAAACCAAGCTAATTAATAAGGTTTATGTAGATACACTTACATCAGCAAGTTAGCTTGCTAGCTGTACTTATAATGCATTCGCTGTTATTACTGTTTTAAGCAATTGTTTGCCCTAACATTATTGGCTAGCTCGCGATTATTATTTGCACGTGTATTTTGACAGACAGAAACAGGACACGTTGAGATGTTTGACAACATAATGTGACATCATCAAAAACATTGGCAATCATAATTCAGAGATGACAGTATCTAGCTAACGTCCTGTATTCCCCCTTCCAAGCTTGTCAATTAGCAAGCTAACTGCAGGACGAGTATTTGAAATGAAATACCTTGGGGTGAACATTAATACAGTAGCTACAGCCAGCTAGCGACCACACGTAGCTAGCGACAGCAATGGATGGCCAGCGTTAACCTGGAATCAAGATGCCATCGATGTCTGCAAAGAGCGCACAGCCGCACGCAAATGAAGCACAAATTTCCCCGCACGTACCTCGAATACCACCTCTTCATCAAACTCCTCAGTCATTGCTCTCCGCCATAGGTATCAAGAGCTACTCGTTTAGTGGTTACGCATTCTGGGATTGTAGTCCAAGAAAGTCGAAGGAGGCTTCAAGTTGCGCGGACGCATTAATGCCAGGAGCTTAGGTGTTCCTAAAACTCTAGTTCCCACAATGCATCGGTGCTCTAAACTCTGCCAGGCTCCGGCATCGTACCCGTGGCTTTCAGAGGCAGCGGTGAGAGGCACCTCTAGTGGAAATTCGGCGTAATATAGATCAGTGCTTCACACTGGAGAGTTTCAGAGTCGGCTTGTGCGAGTTGCAGAATCAGAACGGATTGAGAAAGTTGAAGAGGGAAGGATCGAGAGGGGTTTCGATATATTGAAAGAGGAGAAAAACACAGTTCTGTTGGATTATTCGTTTTGGAAGTTTCCCGGGAGGTTGTCTTGTGGATACAGTAGCTAGCAATGCGTCTTGGAAAAGAAAATCAACGAAGTTGCACGCTGTCGCTATCCGGCTGAAAGCAAGTTATTCATGGAGTAACGAAAAAGTTTTGGGAATCATGAGCACAGGTCAGTTCGCTGAATGGGTAATTTAAGATTTGTGCTGATGTTTATCCTTGCAGTTTGATCTGCTCTTATATATGTTTTGTGCAGACAGATAGCTCTCAGGCGAGAGATAATCACACACTCAAGAGTACTCACGGAGATTTATTGTAAACTTAATTCGGTATGTTTGTTGCATTTCTTTGCCATCAACAAGTCAGCTAGCTAAAGCTATGTAATGTCCCACGCTGTTTTCACTCGCAAGCACCAAATAAAACAATGTTATAGTTAGCTAGCTAGGAAACTTTGCTTTAACTTTATCGTTTTGATTTTCTTTGTAGCTACAAGAGAGAATAATGGTTAAGGAACCAGATCCTCACCAAAGCAAATCAAAACACCAGAAAAGTTATGTGGTTTTGTTTCAACCACATCAAGGATGCGAGCAGTTGTTCACTGCGTTTTAAAGAGCCGCCAGGTTGTTTTGGAGTTTTAAAAAACAGCTTGTATGAGAATTGCTGAAAGGCATTAGATTCGCAGTGCATGTTGAGACAGATTTACATAACAAGGAAAAACGTCTTCAAACGTGAGTCTGTAAGAAATCGTAATGCGTTGGCTCTTTCCTATCTTGAACTAGATTCGTTACCACATATTGTGTGCAGTTGAGTCCTTAACGGTTATTCAGATTTTTTTCTGTGCATATGCTGTCTATAAACTAACTTTAAGTTCCATTGACTTGGCAAAACAAACTACCACATGAATAACAATCGCTTCGAATGCAAATGTGCGAAAGTTTGATAGATAGGAAATGTTCGCAAAGATGGCATTTGTGAGTTAAGTACTATAACTTTGTCATGAGCTGGTTCAAAGAAGAAAAAAAATACAAGCACATCCGCTCAATGACTGTTCAACTCGTGTTGGCCACGAAGTCCGCCAGGAGCACCAGTTTAACTCTAGCAGGGCAGAAAATGTGGATTCGAGCAGGTCCTTTGTGTTCAGAGACGGGTGACACCGGTGTTTCAGGCTCCGGCTCCCTGTTTTCTTTCTTTAAAGACCACATATGAAATGATGGCTTAGGAGATATGCAGTCATAAAACGCGTGCTAGACCGACGGTTGTGAACTAAAAAGTCGGCTGTACCATTGCCAAGAAAAACACATTTTTGGCCAGTCGTGTCGTAGGTGTTTTATTCCTGTGTATCATATGCTTTATAAGTTTAAAATAAATCAACGTTTATTATCAGTGTATTTCTCGTTACTCCATGTTTTATATATGCAGATCATTTACATTTCCAAGAGCAGTAAAAAGGCCGTCTCGGATCGTAAACTCCTTATTCAGCACTTAACTTACAGTTGTTAAATTATTTCGGTTTGTGGAAAAATCAGTCAACGAGGAGCTAAAGGGAACATCTGAGGTGATGAGTGTGTGCAAGTGTAGAAGCCACCGGAGTAACAGGAATATTGCATTTGTCTTGGACTGCTTCCCAAAAAATCCCGAGACAGCATTTCCTCTGCTCAAAATAAATAAACAACCTCAAAACCAGCGAAAACAGCTAGGCCCATTATTAAGTTTTTCAGTGAAAACACACTGCAGGATAAACTGAAGGAACGCCGACGAGTAGGAGTCGGGCTGTCTTTGTGAATGCTCCGTAAATGCACGAACGTTTGCAAATAAACAATAAAAACTTTCTGTAAATGAAAGGGTTGATTGGTGACGCCATCTAGTCATGTGGATCTGTTGATTGAGACGACATGTGCATGTGTATGAGCAACAGGCACGACGTGACGCTTTGAAACGCATTGGCACTGCACTCACCCACCGGCTACGTTACAGTATAAATGATGACGTCACATCAAGACCCATTTGCAGCGATTCTTCATCGTGTGCACGTCGCGGGAACAGAACATCTGTGCAAAGCGTGCGCGAGTTCCACGCTGGCCCGTGTACGAGACAATAGGGCAATGGATGCGTCTCGTTTGTTGCATTATTTTTTTCTTTAGCAGACGCCTTTACCCAGGGCAACGTACATATTTGGTTTTGTTGTACATATTATCCATGCATACTGCTGGATATTTACCGGAGCCGCTCGAGTGAAGTACCTTGCTGGAAGCTTAACTGCTTGATTTGGTGTTTAATCCTACTACTTTCAGATTACAAGCTCAATTAGCTAATCACTGCACCACACTGCCTGCTTTCTTCCAAAGAGTGTTTACGGTCACTGTATGTTACTTCAGAGTTTATGTTCAGCGTCTTAACCAATGCATTGGACACAGCAAGCAAGCCCTCTAAATTTACAAGCCAGGTTTGTGCTCTGATTCTGAAAATCGTGTTGTTGACTTGGGCCTGACTGACCACACCTTCCCCTCTTGCTGGAAGGCGCCATGGCAACCGGACCTGTCTCTGAAGTCTCATGCGCTGAGTCAACAACAGGCTTTGCCCTTTGTTTGGGTGTGTGTGCGTGCAATTGACCCACATCTCAGTCTTAGAACGTGCCCCACAGCAAGTGTGGTGATTTCCGCATCTTTCATTATGTTGACTCTGTCGCTTTCAGAGGTGGGCACAGCACACATCGCATCCCAGGTGGGAAGCGAAACCCTCAGCACAAGCTGGCATGACGTAGCCTGCTTCGGTTCCGTTTCCACGGTCTCCTCAGATGGCCCATTCATTAGATCATGGGATGT